TATATATTTTCAGCTCTGCAGTAGTATCAGCAGGGCATTATAAGAAAACCACAAAATCAGACGATTGAGTACTTCGCCGATTTTTCTTACGTAATTCTTCATTCTCTTAGTATTTCAAATAAATTCTTCTTCTCTTTTGAGATTTTTCTACAAATGACAGGAAATTTTTGGACTTTGTTCTGTGTGAATCATCATCAGACATCAAACTGCACTCTTCGGTTTCTCCAGATATGTTTCGGTATTACACTCTCATTCGTAACTCTCTTTATTTGCTTGTTTCACAAGGAATCTCCTAAACCTAATCACCAATTCCATCGTCTTCGAATCGTCTCTGCTTTGTTCAACGGAATCATCGGATCTCTAGATTTGATTTTAGGGATTTGGGTTTTACAAGAGAATCCAAACAAGCCCTTAATTCTCTGGCTCGTGATTCTCATTCAAGGGTTTACATGGTTGTTCATTAACTTAGTGGTTTGTGTTAGAGGAACAAGAATCAAGAAATCGTCCTTGAGATTGTTATCTATTTTCTCCTTCTTTTATGCTTTAATCTCGAGTTGTTCTTCTGTGTACAATTCTGTTTCTGGAGAGGAATTAGGGATTAGGATGGTTCTTGATGTTTTGTTACTACCTGGTTCGGTGTTATTACTCTTAAGTGCTTATAAAGGCTTTAGCTTTGAAGATTCCGGTGAGAGTAGCTTGTATGAGCCTCTTAGTTCGAATGGGTACAACGAAAAATCCGATTTTGGTAACCGGGCTAGCGAGTTTGCGAGAGCTGGTTTGTTAAGTAAGTTATCATTCTGGTGGTTGAATTCTCTGATAAAGAGAGGAAATGTGAAAGACTTGGAGGAAGAAGATATGCCGGATTTGCGCGAGGAAGAGCGCGCTGAGACGTGTTATTCTCTGTTTGAGGAGAATTTCGATGAGGAAAAGAGAAGATTAGGGAGTTCTTGTCGGCCTTCGATCTTGAAAGTGTCTGTTCTTTGTGTATGGAGAGAGGTTTTGATCTCTGGTTGCTTTGCTTTTATGAAGATTGTTGCTGTTTCTGCTGGTCCTCTGATTCTGAATGCTTTCATTTTGGTCGCGGAAGGCCACGAAAGCTTCAGATATGAAGGGCTTGTGTTGGCTGTGTTGCTGTTCTTCTCAAAGTGTATTGAGTCTTTGTCACAGAGACAATGGTACTTCAGAAGTAGAATTGTTGGTTTACGAGTAAGGTCTCTTCTAACTGCAGCTATATACAAGAAACAGCTTAGATTGAATACTTCTTCAAGACTGATCCATTCGGGTAGCGAGATTATGAACTACGCGACTGTTGATGCCTACAGAATTGGGGAGTTTCCGTATTGGTTTCATCAGCTTTGGACAACAAGCTTTCAGCTAATAATCGCGCTTCTGATTCTCTTTCATTCCGTGGGAGTTGCTACGTTTTCAGCTCTAGCTGTGATAGTACTTACTGTTCTATGCAATGCTCCAATCGCGAAACTTCAGAACAGGTTCCAAAGCGAGCTCATGACTGCTCAGGACGAGCGACTCAAGGCCTGCAATGAGTCTCTTGTCAACATGAAAGTCTTGAAGCTCTACGCGTGGGAATCACATTTCAAGAAGGTTATTGAGAAGCTAAGGAACATAGAGTTGAAATCTTTGAAGGCTGTTCAGATGCGAAAGGCTTACAATGCGGTTCTGTTCTGGTCATCACCGGTTTTTGTCTCTGCTGCAACTTTTGCAACTTGTTATTTGATGGACATTCCATTGAAAGCAAGTAACGTTTTCACGTTTGTGGCAACTCTGCGTCTGGTCCAAGATCCAGTAAGAATGATTCCCGATGTGATCGGTGTGACGATTCAGGCTAAAGTTGCTTTCAGTCGTATCGCTACATTTCTAGAAGCTCCTGAGCTTCAAGGTGGGTTGAGGCGGAGAAAGCAGAGATCAGAAGGCGATAGAAACGCGATCGTGATTAAATCTGCGAGCTTTTCGTGGGAGGAGAAAAGTTCAACAAAACCAAACTTGAGAAATGTGAGTCTTGAGGTTAAGATTGGTGAGAAAGTAGCTGTTTGTGGCGAAGTTGGCTCTGGAAAGTCTACAATTCTAGCTGCCATTCTCGGTGAAACTCCATGTGTTTCAGGAACGGTAAGTCATCGTTTAGTCCCCTCTTAAGCTCTAGTTACTCGATAAGTATGCTTCTGATTTTGATTTGAATTATCCAACAGATCGATTTCTATGGCACAATCGCATATGTTTCTCAAACAGCTTGGATCCAGACGGGGACAATAAGAGATAACATTCTCTTTGGAGGTGTGATGGATGAACAACGTTACCGTGAGACAGTTAAAAAGTCTTGCTTAGACAAAGATCTACAGCTCTTACCTGATGGAGACCAGACTGAGATTGGTGAGAGAGGTGTTAATCTAAGTGGAGGACAGAAGCAGAGGATTCAGCTCGCTCGTGCGCTTTACCAAGACGCTGACATCTATCTCCTTGATGATCCATTTAGTGCCGTTGATGCACACACTGCTACTAGTTTGTTTAAAGTAAATACACCGAACTTTCAAATTCTTCATTTTTTCGGGAAATGTAGAAGCTAATGTGTTTGATTTGCAGGAATATGTAATGGACGCTCTCGCGGGAAAAGCTGTGTTACTCGTCACGCATCAAGTTGATTTCTTGCCTGCTTTTGATTCTGTCTTGGTAAATTTGATCTTATATTATAACATCAGAATTGAGTTACCTGTTTGTTGTCTTAGTTTCTTTCTGATTGTAGCTCTTTCTCTAGTTGATGTCAGATGGAGAAATCATTGAGGCCGATACTTACCAAGAACTTCTTGCTAGAAGCAGAGACTTTCAAGATCTTGTGAACGCTCACAGAGAAACTGCTGGTTCCGAGAGAGTGTTTGCGGTAGAAAACCCCATCAAACCGGTGAACGAAATCGCTAGAGTTTCTTCCTTGTACGCTCAGTCCAAGGTCTTGAAACCGAGTCGCTTAATCAAACAAGAAGAGCGAGAGAAGGGAGATACAGGGTTGAGACCGTACATACAGTACTTGAATCAGAACAAAGGTTACATATTCTTCTTAGTAGCAAGCCTAGCTCAGGTCATGTTTGCAATTGGACAGATTCTACAGAATTCTTGGATGGCTGCAAATGTAGAGAACCCCAATGTTAGTACATTGAAGTTGATCTTGGTCTACTTGTTGATTGGTCTGTGCTCGGTGCTCTGCTTGTTGGTTAGATCTATCTGTGTTGTGATCATGTGCATGAAGTCATCAACTTCGTTGTTTTCTCATCTTGTAAACTCTCTTTTTAGAGCGCCTATGTCGTTTTACGACTCCACGCCTCTCGGACGGATTCTTAGCAGGGTAAGTGCTGATAAACTTGATGAACATTAATGGTTTATTGTCAGGTATACTAAACCAACTGTGATTTCTGGGGATTTGCAGGTCTCATCTGACTTGAGCATTGTAGATCTTGACGTTCCTTTCGGTCTGATCTTTGTGGTTGCGTCGACAGTTAACACGGCTTTTAGTCTCGGAGTGCTAGCTATTGTTACTTGGCAAGTCTTGTTCGTATCTGTTCCCATGATTTATCTAGCATTTCGGTTACAGGTTAGGTTCTTTTTCTTCTTGAGCTCCTCTTGAGAGATCATGTGTTCTCTAGAAAAATCTTGTTTTCTTATCTTTTTATCGGTTTTACAGAAGTACTACTTCCAAACAGCAAAGGAGTTAATGAGGATCAATGGCACAACAAAATCTTTGGTGGCGAATCATTTAGCGGAATCAGTAGCAGGAGCAATAACAATAAGAGCATTTGATGAAGAAGAGAGGTTTTTCAAGAAAAGTCTCATACTTATCGATACAAACGCTAGTCCTTTCCTCCATAGCTTTGCAGCTAACGAATGGCTTATTCAGCGACTTGAAACCGTTAGTGCCATTGTTCTTGCCTCCACTGCTTTCTGCATGGTTCTGCTACCTACAGGAACATTTAGCTCCGGTGAGTGAGTCATGATCAAAAACAGATATTGAATTCACCAATGTTTGCTTATTAAATGGTGTTTGTTGCAGGATTCATCGGTATGGCGCTATCTTACGGTTTATCTTTGAATATGGGACTTGTTTACTCCGTACAGAACCAATGCTACTTAGCTAACTGGATCATTTCGGTTGAGAGGCTTAATCAGTACACACATTTAACACCTGAGGCTCCTGAAGTAATAGAAGAGACCCGACCACCGGTTAATTGGCCGGTCACAGGCCGAGTGGAAATCTCTGATTTGCAGGTAAGTTTGCTTAATACATTTCATTCCCTAATTCATGAGTGTGTGTTAATCT